TGAGAGGGATGATGACGTCGATGAGGTGAGGGGGTGGGGGAGGGAGGGAGGGAGGGAGGGAGGAGGGTGGATGATGCAGCCGGTTGGTCGATGAATGCCTTCCTTCATTGTGTTGTTTTGTGTTGTGTTGTGTTTTGTGTTTGCCAGGCTGACGGCCTGCTGGGCTACTACGCCCACAAGAGCGATTACCACGTCTCAGTCTCGGTGAGACGAAACACACACCACACCCGCAGAGAATCGCTATGCGAGCTGCTCTCTTTCCAATGGTTTGCTACCCGTGCAGTCATTCCAGGGGGCCAAGAAGAGCTCGGGCAACTATGTCCTGGAGATGCCCCACCCCCCCGACCTCAGCCGACTCGAGATCACCCAAGCCAACAACACACAGCAAGAGTCGCAGTCGCAGGCGATCGAGTCCCAACAGCTCATGCCGCCATCGGCTACGGCCACAAGCAGCAACAAGGTCAAGGTGGCGAGGGGTGAGGCGCTGCTCGTGCCGTTGGCCACTGGGCGGCTGCCTCTGAAGAGGGCGGCCGAGAGGGGCGGCTATGGGAGGCGCCTTGAGGCCGACTTCATCCGGCTGGGGCAGCGCAGCCTGACTGAAGACGAGATGAAAGGCGCCGAGACAAAACGCCTACAGATCATGGTACGAATGACACAGAGAGCAGAAACAACACCACACCACACCACACACCATCTCTGTCTTTATCCCTGCAGACGACCACCATGGATGACGCGCCGCTGCCGGAGGAACCGCCGATCCCGCGTGAGAAGACGCCCGAGGACGAGGGCCCGATGGGCCATGAAGACGAGGACGAGCACGACCGGCTGGAGGGCGAGGGCGACCTCAGTGGACAGAGGGAGGAGGGTGGTGCCGGTGCTGGTGGTGGGGCTGGGGCCGCTGGTGAAGGTGAGGGTGGTGGGGCGGGTGAGGGTCGTGGTCGTGGGGATGAGGAGAGCGAGGAGGGCGAGGTCAAGAAGAGCTCGGACGAGGAAGGGTCTAGTGATGAAGACGAAGATGAAAGGTATCGCTTCGTCTCTCGTCTCATTTCACCTCTCTCTCGGTTCGTGTGCGCGGCTGGCTGGCTGGCTGTGTGGTCGTGAATATGTGCAGTGGTGAGGAGTCGTCGTCGGCCGAGTCATCCGAGTCTGGCGAGGAGGGGGAGATTGACGAAGACTGACTGACTGAATAAATGTGCGCAAGTGGCTGCTGACGTGCTGCATGGTTTCTGATGATCGTTCGGCTGATAGTCGATGTCTTGTCCATGCCTTCGTCGCGAGATGGCGCTCGAGTCGTTTCCGCCCTCCGATGCGGGCTGAGGAATCGACTCGAGCGCCGTCATGCCACGGACGGGACACAGATGTCTACGCGAGCTATGCATGTCCACGAGACATCTTTGTGTCTTAAGACAAACAATGTGTTTAGGCTGCTCATTGTCAGCTGCATGGCATGCAGCAAATCCATCGTTGCCGACTGACAATCCACACACGACCCACCGCACCGCACCCTCTCGAACTTACGACCACCGACCAACTGCCTGTCTGCCTGCCTGCCCGCCTGCCTGCCTGCCTGCCTGTCAGTACTTGCAATGGATGTCTGCACACGCACGGCACAGTACAGTGCAGTGCGCCGGTCTGAGAGGCGAAGTGATTAGATTTGTTCATCGGCCGTTCTTATCGGCTGACATTGAGAGGCCTTTTCTGCCTCGCGATGGCTCTACTTTTTGTGGGCAAGCCACGTGCTGTGCTGACGAGCGACCATTTCATTAGTGTCTGCCAGTGCATTTGGACCTCTGTCGGTAAGAAGACTGACTTAGATTTGCTGTCTGACGAGCCAGCCGTGTCAGCGGCAGTGTGCAGTGTGATTGACTGGTCGATGGGTAAGCCTTACCTGCCCAGGTAGGTATATTGAATGCATTCACGTGTCCGTCCGGTCACTCACCTTTTCCACACGCACGACAAGCGGGCAGCCAGGCAGGCCGACGCAAACAGAACCCACAATCACTCACTCCTTCATCTAGTCCACATACAGACGACGCACCGCGAAGCACCGCACAGCACCGCAGCCTCTCACTCAGTCAATCAATCCATTCTACAGTCCTCTCTCAGACAGTTCACTCACTGGTTCTGGGGGTTGTTCTTGAGCAGGAAGTTGGCCTGCACCCACACACAACCAACACAAAACAGCACAGCACAACGGCAAATGGCACCTTGAGTGCAGTAAAGGCATTGACACTGCCAACACAACACACCAACAGTACCAGGAACTCGATGGGGTTGGGAGGCCGCTCGGTCGCCACGGCATTGAGTGCGGGCAGCAGCACCGGCACTATCATCTGGTCCAGGTACTGACGGATGGGCAGCGACTGCGCGTTCATCGTCGCACCCACAGCACCAGCGCCCTTCTCACCCCCACCAGCAGCGGTGGCCGGCTGTGGACTCTCGAGGACTCCTTTGGCTTCCTGCCCGCCTGACTCCTTGGGGTAGGCTTCGCTGCTGCCCGTTTCCTTGGGCTCCTCATCGGCAGGGCCTGATGGGGCGGGAGGCGCCTCGGAGTCACCGACCTCTTCGGACGACATCTTCTTCAACTAATACGATAGGAGACGAACGGGCGGATGGTTGCTGCTCTCGTGGAGGCGTCAATAGCAGAGTTTTCCTCCCCAGCAGCTGCGAGCTAGTGGAGGAGACCAAGAGGTTGAAGCTTACCTGTCGCAGACTCCCGCCGCCGCCAGTCGCAGTGACCGACAACTGCCATGTGTGTGTGCTCTGCGACGATGCGTGCATTGACGGAGGCGGCCTTTCCGATCGCAGGGCCTGGCGTCTTTGCGTGTCCTTTGCGTTCCCTCTCGTGCCAAGGATTACTGGTCCGCTGAGGCCTTGGTGGGCAGCTTATCTATCCAGGATTCTTCCGCTTGCCGAGTTGAACTTGATGAACGTGAAGCGGGCCGTGAGTGCTGGAGCCCGCGTGTCCGATGCCTGTTACTTCCTCTGCATCATAGCTGGTATGTAAGCTATAGAAGTGGTGAGCACTGCAGGGCCCTGCGCTAGCTAGATGGATGCATCGCCATCGATCGATGGCCTGCCTGCCTGCCTGTGCTGTATGCTGTGTGTGCTGTGTGTGTTGTTAGGTGAAGTGATTGCTTGTGCGTTCTTCGTCGTGCTCGCGAAGCAGCTGTTTCTAGATGCGTACTTCACCTTCCCCTCCTTTTTGCATGCCCTCCTCAGCGCGCCGCTGCTCCTCCTCTCCTCGCTCAGCAAGAACGGACTCCTCATCGGCGGCCTCGGCGCTCTCAAGCACCTCTCCCACTCCGCCGCCCTTGCGGGCTTCTACACGTCTTTCCTCCAGTCACTCTCGTACAACACAGCCTCCCAGGCCACCGCAGCTCTCTACCTGACGTCCGCTGTCCTGTTTGCTCTCCGGTATAGCGACACACGGCGGCCGCTGCTGTGCCTGTTCATCGTCTGCGTGTCACTGATCGACACGACTGGCCTGACGATGGCCACCGACAGCCCCCCGTTTCGGGAGGTGCAGTGGGTGGGCAGCGGGTGGCTGGTGCTGTCAGTTGTCTTTTTGCTGCTGACGACTATCCATGGGCTGAGCGGGTCACGCCGGAAGCGCGTCAAGGGCGGGAGCGGGAATGTGACGCTGTCGCCGCCCACTGGGGGGAGTGGGAACGGCGGCGTGAAGAGGGGGGAGGAGGGCGATGGCGGCATCATGCCGATACCCTTCGAGCTGGGCGATGTCTTGTGGGCAGGTCAGACAGGAGCGTCTGTTTATCTGTGCGTTGCTGGAGGGTGTGCTGTGTCGTCCTCTGTGTGTGTGTGTGTGTGTCAGTCGTGTTTAGCTTGGGTTGTGACGAGTGGCGGCCTTGGGTGGCAAAGAGCATATGGGAGTATAGGATGACGGGCATCGCCCTTCTGGGCATCCTCGGCTGCTCACTCGCGCTCATCGCTGACTCACTCCTCGCCGAACTCATCACCAAGTAACCCCACACCCATCCATCCATCCACTCACCGTCTCCCGTGTCTGTCTGCAATGTTGATCAGGCGGCGCTTCTATTCGTCGAGCAGTAGCAGCCCCTCCCCCACCCCCCCGTCGTGGATGAGCCTCTTCCAGTCGGGGGGGCCCCCTCTGCGTGAGGAGGACCAGCCTCTGCTGTTCCTGCTCATGGGGGCCATGAAGCTCATGGCCATCGCACTCGTCGACTACCTCCTGCTGGGCGGGGTCGGCAGCCGCGCTGCCGGTGGGTGGCCCGCCTTTGTGACGGCCTGCATGTGTGCGGCGGCGCTGCTGGTGGTGGCTATCGGGCTGGACGGACCGGTTCTTGAGACGTCAACCTATGCCCCCAGATACTTTGAGGTCAGGAAACCCACGCCATCAGAGTGGCACGGACTACGCGGACTCCCTGTTGCGTGATTGTGGTCAGGATGCCTTGTTCCTGCCGCACCATCCCGGCGGTCGCATGGCCGCTGCGGGAGGGGCGTCGCGGCAGCTGCTGCCCTTTGGCGGCTCGACATGGAGTGCGGGGGGCAACGTCAACGCACTCAGCATCGCACCACGGAAGCTGGACCTCATCACTTACGCATGCGGTGAGTGGGGGATGAGGTGAGCACCACGGTGGCTGGCCATTCCATCCATCCATCCACTGTTTCGGGTGTGTGTGTGTGTTTGTGTTGCTCGCTCAGTTGCCGTGCTGCTGATATTCGGCGCTGCCGGGCGTCTGTCCATCCACTGCTGCCCGGCGATATGGTCGCGTGACTGGTCACCCCCCGCCCCCTCCCTGACCTCCCCCCCTTTCAGAGACAACGCCTGTCTTCTCGAAGGCGACATCCGTCTGCTCCTCGCCCCCCAACGGCCACCAGACGGCGACTCGGCGGCCGCCACCAGCAATCGCACTGGGAGCGACGCCGACGTCGACCGTCGGTACTCGCTGTTTCGGTCAGAGGAGGCGATGGTGGCCATTGTGTTGGGTGGCGGCCTGGAGGAGGGGGGCTGGGTGCTGAGTCACGTGCCGGCGCCGCCAAGGCACCAGGTGTATGCCTACAGGCGGGACGAGCAGGCGGGGAGCAGCGCGTTGCCCTACCTGGGTGGGGAGGCCTCGCGGTATGGTGCTTGGGCAAAGTTTGTGGCTGAGCACTATGAGTGCCTTCCGGAGTGGGTGCTGCTCATGCAAGGGCATAGGTAGGTCAGTCCAGTCAGGATCAGGTGCAGTGCCGTGCCGTCCACCCGGCCAGATTGGGGCGCTGTGGTGGCTGGCTGCGTGACTGTGTGCAGGTACATCGGCTCGAAGGACCTCTCGGTGTATGTGGACGACCTCAGCTGGCTGCCGTCAGTGTCAGAGGGCGACGCCGCGCGCCTGACGGTGTGGAGCCTCACCGACAAAGACGCCCACGCCAAACACGCGAGCGCAAGCTGGTGAGCTGGGCGGCGGATGACACAAGGCACGGCGACCGACACTCACACACACACACACACACACAGACACAGACACAGACACAGACACACACGCGCACTCTCCCTCTCTCTGCAGGCTCCGCAACCACCACCCCGAGGTCCTGCACGCATCCAGGTACATATTCCCGTCGTCCGAGCCCCTCCCCTCCTCCCTCACCTGGCTGCCCTCCCCCAACCTCGCCGTGCACCGGTCGCAGCTGCGGAAGCGGTCACAGCGGTTCTGGAAGGGCCTCCTGCACTGGCTTGTGGCCACGAGAATCGACGATGAGTGGCCCCTGGAGGCGGGCGTGGGTGAGGACGGTTTGTCGACCAAGGAGAGGGTGGTCGAGGTGACGCTGCCGCGGATACTGCAGACATCTGTGGCCGAGATGGGGAAGGCCTGGGGACAGGCCAGGGGGTGAGATGAGGTTGGACGGGGTGGGACGGGACGGCGGGTCTGTAGTTTGGTTTGGTCCGTTGGTTGCTTGCTTGCTGGCTGACTGGTTGTGTGTGCGTTCCTTCTTTTCCTTCATGGTTGTACAGAGAGGGTGCCTGCCTCGTGTGCGTGTGTGTGATGTGACTCAGTGACCTTAAGTGGACAGATTGACAGGCAGACAAAATAAAAGTGGCAGTACATTGTAAATTTGTTGACCCCCAACCGCAGGTTGCTGACGTCGTGGCTCATCGATTTGGCGGCCACGCGACGGCCACAGCGCACACAGCAGATCAAGATTGCAGCAATGATGACGGGTGCCGGCGGCAGCATTTTCCTTCTGGTGGTGTTGATCTTCGCCACCGTCCTGCCCCTGGCCCGTTGCCAACACGCACCTGAGGCGGATGAGGATGTTGACTACGTGGTAGTGGGTGGCGGTGCGGCGGGCATTCCCCTGGCGTACACCCTTGCTGAAATGGGCAAGACGGTGCTGCTGATTGAGAGGGGCGGCGTGCGCACCGAGAACAAGAGAGAAACGTATCCCATCAAGGCCTATGGCATAGAGCTCCTCAACAAGGATATCGCACAGGAAGTTTTGACATGTAGGCGACACACGCACACGGACACGCACAACCACACACTGTGCACGTCTGTTTGTGTGTTTGCCTTGTGCCTGCAGTGGACAAGTTCCTGACCCACGTGCCGAGCCTCCTGTGTGGGGGGACCTGCATCAACGGAGGGGTGTACATCGAGGAGACGGCCGAGTACTTCAACTTCCTCGAAGAGAAATTTGGCTCCAAGTTCGACAAACAGCTCGTCAACGCGGTATGATGACCTACCGACCGACGACTGACGGCCACGTCTTTCTCCCTGTGTATGTCATGCAGTCGTACGAGTGGGTCAGACAGCAAATTGCCCAGCCGATGGGGCTGCCCAAGGAGTACTCCGAGGCGTTGATTGGCGGTCTCACAGACCTGGACTTCAAGCCATACGTCGGCCCGTCGGTGAGCGCCACCATCGGCTCCTGGAATGGGTTCTCCATCTTTGAAAACGATGGGAAACACCTCTCGCCCGATCGGTTCCGGTTTGCGAGCGATATCCTGGCGCTGGGGGGCCTGGCTGAGCCGCCAGGGCCGCCTAGTACCCTGAAGATACTCACCCGGCATGAGGTCCTGAAGGTCGAGTTCGACACATCTGGGGAAAAGCCGAAGGCGACTTGCGTGGTTTACAGGGCGTCCCCTGGCGAGTTCGACAGGATCGACTCCCGTGCGAACGCGGGGCTGAAGACCAGACCAGGCGTCGGGGAAAAGCTGGACGTCGGCAAGGATGACGGCGACGATGGCGGCAAAGAGCTGAAGCGCGCCTGCATTAAGGAGGAGGGGGGAGAGATCTTCCTGAGTGCTGGGGCGCTGATGAGTCCGGTGATCTTGATGAACTCTGGGGTCGGGCCGAAGGATGTGGTGGAGAAGGTCATGAAGAAGAAGGGAGGCAAGCTCGTCAAGGACATCCCGCAGCTAGGTCGGCCCCTCTCTCTCCCCTTCTCTCCCTCTCTCTCTCTCTCTCTGGCTGTGCGCACACCTCTCCCCGCCCACACACACATGTCTGTCTGTCTGTCTGTCTGTCTGTCTGTGTGATTGTATGTCCACCCACCAGGCCAGAACTTACACGAGAGGTGGTCCGTGCAGTTCGGCGTCTTCTTCAAGAAGCCCGCACCGGAAAACCCGGCGGGCGAGTTCCCCGTCACCATCACCTCGGTCAACGGAATGAAGCAGCTCCGGCTCTCTGAGGACTGTCCTGAAGACTTTGGGTGAGTGAGTACTATGCATGGATGGATGGATCTCATCTGGAGGTGTCTGTAAGTCAGAACAAATGCGCCACTCGTGTGTGTGCAGGTTTAACACGACGCCCGAGTGCCTGTACGTGTCTGTCGAGGAGGGCAGTGGGGCTACGTTTGCAGGCCTGGTCGTGTCCACCAGAGCTGCCTTCCCCGTTGTCATTCGCACCCTGCCGTACGTGACACCAAGGAAGAAGATCAGAACGGACCTCGCGCAGCCAGCAAGTGTGTCTGTCTGTCTGTCTGCCTGGGTTTGTCTGTCAGGGAAGTGGACTTTCTTGCCGACCTGCTGACAGAGTGTGTTGTGGAGAAGAGAGATACACTCCTGTGCGTCATTTTCCGGCCGACATTCGAGTGCACCGAGTAAGCCAGCGAGCAGAGCGGCCTGGTCTGGTCCGAGAGACACCACATCCTCTACAAGCGCGCCAATGTGGTTGATTGGTTCGTTCATTCAGTCGGACCGCTGGGTGGATTGCATTCCCCCCGGTGCCCAAGTCGCGGGGCTTCGTCACTGTCAGCGAGGATGGTATGCTCATATGCTCAGATACAGACAGACAGACAGACAGACGCTGGTGCTGCCCACCGGCGACTGCAATGCATTGTCCGTCGTGTGTGTGCCGACTGACACCACCCACTCAGGAGAGCCAATCGTCAAGGCCGGCTACCTCACGGACGAGGGCGGCGAGGACCTCAACACTGCCGTCCTCGGACTCGAGACGCTCCTGCGGGTACGTCAGGGAGACGGTGGATGGATGGATGGATGGCTGTGTGTCGACTGGTGTGTGTATGATGGCTCGGTACGTGTGTGTGTGTGTGCAGGTGCTGGGGAGTGGTCGCTTCGACGAGTTGCTTGATAGGCGCGGTCCGCAGTCTTGCGTCATCTACATCTTGAACAAGCTGGTGGACGTGCTCATCCTGACCACACGAGCGCTGCCATTCCCCTTCCCGGGAGATAAGTCCCTGGGGGTGCGCACCCGCCCACACACCAACACACACATATTCATGTGTCTCCCTCTGTGTGTGTGTGTGTGTGTGTGTGTTGTGTCGTCAGGGGGACCTCCTGGCCGATCTCGACGAGTTATCTTTCCTCGGCAGGGAGCAGGAAAGTGACGAGGACAAGGCAGCAAGACCCAAGGGAACCGGCGACCGGACCCTGTTGCAGGATGCCCTGGTGTGGGCGGAGCTGCAGAAGCGGAAGGAGGCCGCCCTTGAAAAGAGCAGGAAGGCCTGGCGGGAGGGCAAGGGACAGGGAGAGGGGGAGGGCGACGCCGAGCCCCAGTGGAGGGGCGACAAGGGCCCGGTCGCCGATTGGCTTAGGGAACAGGTGGCCCTGGCCTCGGAGGTGCCCGCTGAGCCGGTGCGCTTAGCCACCAACCCAGTCACCGTGTTCCTGCATGGATGGATCTGGCCCCTCTCTCTCTATGTGTGTGCGTGTGTGTGATCAGGAGAGTGGTCTGGAAGACCTGAAGTGCGAGCTGGTCGACTCGGAGGAGTGCGAGAGGCGGCGGCAGCTGAAGCATGCCCAGCAATTCGCCATCCTGCCCACCCTGCCGACAGGTGACGCTTGACGTGACGCCCACAGCCAGTCGAACAGCTCAGCTCAGCCACATACCCACCCACACAAGACGAGACTTTCTGTATGGTCAGATTTGTACGACCGCGAGGAGATGGAGGGGGTCATCAAGACGCACGGGAACGGGATGTGGCATTGGTCCGGGTAAGTAACTGAGTGACTGAGTGGGTCGGCCTGCGTCCTTGTGTGTGGGTGTATCTGGTGTATCTGGGGTGTCTGTGTCTGTGTGTGTCTTTGTTGTTGTGTGCAGGTCATCGACGATGGGCGCTGTGGTCGATGAGAAGTTCCGCGTCCACGGCATAGACAATCTGAATATTGTCGATGCAGGAGTCTTCGGGCAGGTCCGTCAAAAGGCGTGTGTGTGTGTGTTCTGCTGACCTGCCTGTCTGCAACCCCTCTCTCTCTTTTTCTCTGTGTGTGTGTGTCTTTGTTGTGTGCTCACTGGATGGCATGGCTTGACGTGGCTGCAGGCGTCTCGAATGAACGTGCAGGCGCACAGCCTCATGGCTGGCAGAATGGCAGGCTCGCAGAGGGCGATGGAGCAGCAGGAGGACAATAGATAGATGACCGCAGGCAGCTCAGCTGCAGAGAGACGCACATAGGGGTTTATTTGGTGCGGTCGTGTGTGTGTGTGTGTGTTTCATTCATTCATTAATTCATGCATGCATCGGTTTTTTGTCGTTCTATCGTTCTACACTCGCACGCACGACAATCGAGAACGCAATTAAGTTACATAGCAATCGACAGGCGGTGTCTGTCTGATCTCTTTTGCTTTCATTCCTGTGTCTCTAAATCGGTCTGCCTGTCTATCTGTGTGTCTCTGTCTGTCTGTGTGTCCGCGTTGGGGGCGGGGTGGCGGGGCGGGGTGGTCATTCTCACTCACACCTTAAGACACAGAGAGAGACACCCTCGGAGAGCGAATGTGTGTGTGAGTGTGTGTGTGTCTGTGTGAGAGAATGTGCATTTGCCATTTTGTGTCAAGTCACCAGCTGATTGTCTTATTATGGTGACGCTAGCGCTATGCCGGGTGCCTGGGGCGGGTGGCGGGTGGCGGTGGGTGTCACGGCCGGCCGGCCACACACAGGTGACCT